TGATTTGGCGAACGAAGCTCATATGAAGGGACCATATTACATACTGCCCAAAAGGTCCCCCCTCCCTTTATTTTTCTCAGTGGGGTCAGACTGAGTCCACTTGGTACTGCGGCCACTTCTGGCCCATTGTACCAAACCCCGATGATAGGTGAGGGTGATTGTGGAGCAATCGGTGGAATGAAGATTGGCAGGGGAAACCGAAGAACTCAGAGAAAACCAGACCCGGGCTCGAACCCTGGCCGCCGCGGTGGGAAGCCGGCGACTAACGGCCTGAGCTAAAAGGGTTCTTTACTACTGACATAGTGGGCCCACATTACAGACCAAAGGCTGTTTGACTTAACTGTGGAGGGCTCTTGTGAACACGGCAATGAACCTACGGGTTCCACAAAATGCTGGGCAGTTCTTGAGTAGCTGCACAACTGGCGGTTTCTCAAGAAGGGCTCAGCTCCATGAAATTACGAGTACTTTAAATCGGAAGGATCTCAATGCTGTATGAACTAATGATGAGTTTCATTCATTTCCTTCCACTTTTCTTATTCTCTTTATCTAACTGCAGTCTTTCTTGGAAAGCTGACTGTTGCTCAGGTAGTTAGAAATTTCCCCATTGTTTATGGAACCAAAATATGCATTACCCTGTTAACTACAGTCAACCAAAGGCCCCTATCCTGAGCCAGCTGAATCCAGAACACTCTCTTACACCTTATCCGTTTTAATATTATTCTTGCACGTATATCTAGGTTCCTGAAGCGGTTTCCTCCATTCAGGTTTTCTAATCCTGTGTGTGAATTTCTCATAGTCGTCATATGTACTGCAGGTTCCGTCCATCTTGTCCTTCTCATAATCATCACTCTTTTGTTTCTTTGCGCAGAGCAGAATATCCAGCAAGCTCCATTATGCACTCCTTTCTTGTGGCAGAGAGTGAGAGCCACTCCTATGTTCTAGGTTAATGTTCTTTACTTCAAAGCCTAATTGAAGAATTACTGTCTCCTGGAACATGACGCCGTGTGGTCTGCTAGACATTTATCGACGTTTAGGAGGAGCACTCTACTTCAATATTTAGTAATCCGTGTACAACCCTGAAGTTGGAGGCAACAAGTTCCTACGTAACGATGGTAATACTCGTACGAGACTACACGGTGTTACATCCTCTGACGTTATCTTCATAGGCACTGCCATGAGAACCTCAAATGTATTGTCTTTGCTTTACTGTTATTATTATTATTACTATTATTTTGACAGCAATTCCAGTCAAATAATTTAATGCCATAATTGTCACAGATAGAGAGGTAAAGTTGGCCCCGTGCTTAACTAATTAAGCACTACGCCATGAAGGCGTATGAGGAGTGGACGTATAGATCCACATTTTCTTGACCTCGGCACTACCTGGAGGTGAGTGGTCAGCTTCACGCCTCAGCCGCTTTACTCCCGGGGAAAAAGTCCCCGGTACCCATTGGATAGGAGGCTGGGTGGGCCCGAGAGCCGGACTGGACGACATGGAGAAGTGAAAATTTTTGAACCTACCGGGACTCGAACACCGAACCCTCGGTCGTCCAGCCTGTAGCCAGTCGCTATACCCACTACGTTATCCCAGCTCCTCACTGTCACACATAGTCACATAAGATGTCCAGAAAATGTTCCACTTACATTGTCTGTGCCATTTTGATTGTCATGAGGCTACCTGAACTGTACAACTACTATGTGCTGTTGAACTTAACTTTTACGTCTATGAGACAGAGCAAATTAGAAAAGCAAAGAATACCGTAGTTACAAAGCACACAAACGGAAATAAAGGCAAAGATAACAAAGCGTAAACTCCATTATCATAGCCTTAACACATGTTTACACTCTTGCAACTGTTTAGGAGAAAAGATTTAGAAACAAGACGAAGAGTAAGCAAAACTCACACCTACAAGTTAAAACAGTCTTTAAAAGTACCAAATATTTTTCTGTTTAACACTGTTTGCCTCTTACATGTCCAATTTAGGACCAGAAACCGGTCTCGGACTGCAGACTTCAACCGAGGGATTCTTTGCAGTATGAGAAGATTGACACTTCAGAATAGTAGGAACGGTTAACGCGTAATTTACAGGAAATCCGTATGCACTGCGTTTACATACTTAATCTTTCGACAATGGAATTGAGCTTATTATAAAATAAAAGTATTTACAAAGCCGCGAAATGAAAACAAAAGAACGGAATTTTATTTGGAATCTTTCTTAGGTTCAGCCTTACATTAGCCAGACTTTATGCTAAATCTGGAGACCTGATGTTAAAGTTTCATGTTATGACAAACGATATAAAGTCATTTGAGAATTTTTAACATCCGTCCACACAACAATTTTTTAAAGACTATACAAATGTAAATTATTTACATTAAAATGTTAACACCTTAAAATATGACATGTTTCGACCATTACTGGGACATCATCAGGTGTACTGTCTGTGCTTAGCAGCCGAATTTGTTTTTAATATGGATCTATATTTTCAATATGACTATATAACATGTAATATTATGCTTAGTAACAAAACTTTTGGTATAATCTGCTTCTTAGTCCAATTATGTTGGTATTAATTACTGTGTATCTAGTTGAAGGTTAAATTAAGATCGAAATTAAGAATAAAATATATGTACATATCTGTTAGTTATTTCGCTGGTATACTGGCAGCGCTGGTCTGGTTCCTACCTAGGTGGGTATCGTGTTACGAACTCTTGTATGTTCACATGCGTTATGTCCCATTTAATTGGGTCGCAAGTTGGGTGCAGTGGGTCTGTCCTCGAGATGCTATCATATTGTATATGGAAAATTCCCATGTTTAAGATTTTAATACAAATACTCTATATTCGTACATTTTTATAAGAAATTGTTGTCGACGGATGTAAAAAAAAAACTCAATGTACATGCCATACAACAGGATGCAACACATAAAGATATAAAGCCAAGTCCAACTTATTTTTGTGATATAAATGTGACATATTTTTGGAAGGAACTGACGAAGACACAGAAAATCTTCAGTCAAATCCGGGACCTTCCCATTACACGTTTCCCTCCGAGTTTTTTCTCCATAATCTACCTTGTAAGTTTACTTCCTCATACTTATAGACGGATATGTAGGGCATATTGTTTTACTTATGCTTCACTGTTATGTGTACTTCTCAGCAACATTTAATCCTGATCATACATATCTACAAATGCTTCGGTACCACAATCCTAAGTTTCAATATCACTAATATTTTAATGTTACTGGAAAAGCCCCTGAACCTGGACAAGCAAACATCCTCAATTTATCTCCAATTTGTTTCTACGCCTTGTAAGAAGAAAGAATTCTCTCGTCTGATATTACAACGTTGTATAGTACGGTGAAAGTAACTAACATTTCGGAGGAACATATTTCCTCCATCTTCAGGATCGAAGAATACATCAAGCATGGAGCAGGCCCTGCTAGGCTTCCCCTCCGATCCTGAAGATGGAGACAGTATATTCTACAGAAACGCAACTGAAGTCCCATAGATCTGTTTGCTGTCTGCTCCATCCTGGTTTCCCACTTTGACTACTCTTCCATCAAGAAGAAGGAAGCGATATGTTCTCGCGAAACGCATGCTGACTTTGACCCGACTACATGACGTTATATACCACAAGACAGAACTCACTGCAGAACTCCGCTGCAAGGACCTCAGACCCAATATCCTCCACCCATCAAAATTCTACGCGCATTCCTCATGGTCTCCATTCTATCTATACGTCCAACCCACCACTACTTACCGGTATTCTAACGATACTAAATTATGTGTATATATTTGTTCGGCTAGCTATCTAACGGCCGGTCACGGCAGCCGAGCGGTCTAAGGCATGTACTGTCTTTTCTCGCTTGGAAACCGGGATCGTGGGTTCGAAACCCACTCAGGGCATGGATGTTTAGTTTGTGTGTGTGCGTGCGTTTTGCTGTGTTTGTGTACAGGCAGAGGCCTTGCGACGAGCTGATCACCCGCCCAAGGAGTCCTACCGAACGTGCAAGATCTAGAAAAAACCGAAATGAACGGAGAAGTTCATGGAGGTAGGCCTAGGCCCACTGGGGCTGTAGTGCCAAGGGAAAAAAGTTATTTAACGATGCTGTCAGTATACGGACTGCAAAGCGTCGACTGGTAAAGCGAATCGTTATTCATTTGAAAATGACTTGGCAGGAGGCGGTCGTGACCTAATTCAGGCAGTATCCAGGCACTTTCATTGAGGGACTGAGGTAAAATGACCAGAAAACCGAGATTCGAACCGAGCACCTCCTAAACAGAAGTCTGAAGCGTTAACACTAGGCCAATCTGTTCAGTACAGTGATGTGTACAAATCACCAAGCTCTTCGTTGCGTAATGTTTGATTTCATGCAGGTAAACATTTTCCTTGCGCAATTCATGTTTGCAGCCGTTTTATTTCATAACATTCCTTAACATTCTTGCAATACATTTACAAATTCAGCGCTGGTCCATTTGACCCACGGATTGACAGAATCTTTTAATGAGAAATTAAATATTTTCACGCTTGAAAATAATTTAAATATATAAAAACCCAGTTCGTGCCTCACAGGAAACACATTACGTCTCCGCTATAAAGCCCATCCGGTTAATGCTGTTTAGGGAAATAATCGCTGTTATTGTGAGAACCATACGGAATACACAAATACATTGTGTGGGCAGAATGCAGAGTTCAGTTCGTACCTCAAAGGAAACACATTACATCTCCACTACAAAGCCCAACCGGTTAATGCTGTTTGGGGAAATAATCGCTGTTTATTGTGAGAATCATATGGAACACACAAAAACACTCTGCAGTTAAAATGCAGTGTCTTTTAATGTTAAAGCAGTGGTTACGTATAGTTACCAACAGTTAAATGGGGCACTTCAATAACTAATACAGTTCGGACCCTAAACCACCACAAAATACTGAATATGTTAATGGTTGTGATCTATGATCCAGAATGCGTAATATTAATATAAGAGGCCATTGACTTACCACAAATTGTAGTAGATGGAGCGTAATACTGTTACATATAGTATATGTTAACACTAGCAGCAGCCAGTCTATTAAAAGTATCAGAAATAAAAAAAAATATCAAATTAACAAGTTCATATATTATATATCGTGATATATAATGGTAAAAAACACATGCAAATAAATAACTTGAAATTGTTTGTAACGTCCGTATATGTTCCGACGTTATTTCACTGCGTACACACACAAAACACTGGGCACACGCCAGCAGCTCCCTCTACGAGCGCCTGCCAGCTACACTAGCGAGCGACCGACTACTTAACCACTTGCGCTCAGCTTCTGTACTGACTTCCCTCTCCCGCTACAAGTAGGCGGGGGCTAAGTTAGTCAACCAGCCGACCTGCAAGATCTCGCATGCAACACGGTAGATCCACTCGTTTTATATTACATAGAGAGTGTTACATTAAGGGTCCGCGAGCCATCGTGAAAAACAACACCTGCGCGTGATCAAATACACGCTGCCACAAGTACGTAAAGTTGAACGATAGAATTTCTTCGAGATTTTCGTAAACCTACGCGATAACAGACTTCAACATATCACTTCAATAGTAAGAGACGGGTGAGAGAGAGAGAGAGAGAGAGAGGGAACTGTCTGCGGTCTAGCTGCAGTTGTCAGTAAAACCGCCATGAGGCATCAGTACTGGGACCCACATGAATAACTGCCACTGGTTTTCTACCAGTCAGAAGATGCGAATACTGTTATTTAGTCAAAGTTACTTTACGATTGGCGGTTTACTGCCAATCAGTTCGTCTTGGCGTAAAACCCGTATACTTTTTCAACTCAACCCTTGCAGTCATAGTTCTTATGTAACACTCTCTCTGATGAGAAGATGGGTGTGTCTGTTAAGAGTATGACTGGCCTTTCGTCAAGTGTACGCATCGCACATATAGCATGTTATTGAAAATTCTTCCTTGTGCACTATATACAAGTCCTCTGTCAGTCCAGGCATTGCAAAGCAGATCACGCCTGTTTTACGTACGTTGGGCTACAACGGCAGCTTCACTTGAAAAGTCATAAGCTTGACCACCAGGCCGCGCCATAGCTCAGGCGGTTAGTCGCTGGCTTCCCACCGAGGGGGGCCGGGTTCAAAATCCGGGTCTGGTCAAGAGGGATTTGTGGTGGACAGAGTGGTGCTGGGGTAGGTTTTCTCCGAGTACTTCGGTTTCCCCTGTAAATCTTCATTCCACAAAAAATTCTCCATCATCATAATCACCCGGGGCCGGTACAGTAGGCCAATCAGTGGCCGCCGTGCCGAATGGATCTAACTGGACTCCAACCCCCCACTATGCGAAGCTTGATCACCGCCCATTTAAGCCTTTTATATTTTCTGTGTGTGGCTTCGCTTTGTACTATACCGCGAACATGTTCATTCTCGTGATTTTGTATGACTTCTGCTTGTTGCTTGCACAATTTTGTTTGTTATTTAGCCAGAGCCAGAGAGAAAGAGTTACTGTACAACTGGCAGTTTACCGCCAATCAGTTCGTCTTTGTGCCAAGTCCCTTGAGACCCAAGACCCGATTTTTTTTTAACTGAACACCCTCAGTTATAGTCATTATGTAACATCCTCTCTGACGAGAGGATTGGTCAGTCGTTAACAATTGCTGCAGGCCCTCGCCATCACAGTCATTCTCCGGTAATGGTATCGCGAGTCTCATGACCCTATTTTACTGTCTCAGATTCGAGACTCCTCCAACCTGGAGGGCCAGGTCCCCGTATTTATATCTCCCAGGAATAGGGTGACCCAGTTATACCCCCAGGCACTGCGTTCCTTTTTCATCGCCTCCTACGACTCGCAGGGCTACGGTGGAGATATTCGAACCCGCCTCCACAAGGGGTTGTTATTTAGTGTTTAGTGGTGCGTTCCGTATATAGTGCCTCCTATTTTTTTGTGTTAATATGTAACGTCTGAGATGGATGTTGGTGCTGTTGTAGTAAAGGTTGAACCTTCCCGCCAATGTACTGTTAATTTGGTTGTCGTGCGACAGATAGCGACAGCAGAGCAGTCTACCAAAATGGCGCCTGACATAGAAGTGCGTACGAAACAGAGATGTGTTATTGAATTGCTCACTGCCGAACAAATTGCAGCCATTGACATCCATCGACACTTGCTAAAGGTGTACGGAGACAATACAGTGGATGTCAGCACAGTGAGGCGGTGGGTAGAGCGTTTCAACAGTGGCGAAAGTGAAGTGCACGACAAGTCATGCCCTGGGCGTCCCTGCTCAGCCGCTACTCCTCACAATGAACAGCGCCTCGATCAGCTCATCCGCACAGATCGGCGAAAACGACCAGCGAACTGTGTGCACGGCTTAATATCGGCTGTAATGCATTGGAAATGATGTTGGGGAAGCTGGATTATCGCAAAGTTTGTTCCAGGTGGGTCACGCGGATGCTTACACAGGACCACAAAACTCATCGAATGGAAGTATGTCAGGACCTGTTTCACCAGTTTGAAGCTGAAGGTGACAAGTTTCTGGACAGCATTGTCACCGGAGATGAGACGTGGTGTCACCACTACGAGCCGGAATCCAAAAGACAGTCCATGGAGTGTCGACATCCTTATTCCCCAAGAAAAAATAAATTCAAGACACAGCCATCGGTAGGGAAAGTGATGTGCACGGTCTTTTGGGATAGGCGGGGTGTGATTTTTTTGGATTTCCTGGAGCCTGGTGAGNTCTCTTTGGGCCTATGAAAGACGGACTACGTGGGCAACATTTTCCAGACAACGATGTTGTCATTGCAGCTGCAAGAAAGTGGCTAGCCTCTGCCGGCGCAGACTTTTACGGGCGCGGCATACAGGCTCTTGTTCATCGATGGCAAAAGTGCATAACGAATGGTGGTGATTATGTGGGAAAATAGCTGTAAGTAGCTGAAACCTTGCTCTATTTAACTGCGTTATTATGATTTCTGTATCTGTTGTAGTTTTCTTTAAAAAAATAGGAGGCATTATATACGGAACGCCCTTAGTACATTAGATATATAAAGATTGAGTTCGTGCCTCACAGGAAACACACATCGTCTCCATAACAACGACCATTCGGTCAGTGCTGTTTAGGGAAATCAACTTCGTCACTCAGTAACGGCCAAGTGCTTGGTCAGAGATGAAGTCCCCAACTTAAAGAGCGAGGATGTGATAATGTGCTGCATGTTCACGGCTATCACGCATCTCAGAAGATGTGACGTTTCTTATTTGTGCTCAGGAGATACTGGATTCAAATCTCGTCCTTAACACCGAATATACTGAGTTTTTCGTGGTTTCCCTGAGCCCCTTCACGCAAATTCCAAGATATTGTACGTGTATCAATTCAGGCCACGACCACTTCCAGCTCATTATGCACTGTCATCCTACCATTCGACACTATATTTTCTGAGGTACTTACCTCATCATTCAATAAACAACAGTATCTACCAGTCTATGTAACTCCATGAAAGAAAGTTCCTTCGGTAAAGTTAACAGAATATCAGCTGGTCAAGAAATTTCGGATATTATACAGAAGCGGATAGTGCACTACTGTGATCACAACTTGCTACATGAACCTCCCCTTAGCCAGTTTAAGCCAGTCCACATACTCTCAAGCTGTCTGAGACTATTTTTTTTTTTTGTATTAGGTTCTTTTTATGGAACCTCAAGGTTCGTTACCGTGTTCACAAGAGCCTGCCACTGGACTCAGCCCTGAACCGCTTTAATTCAGTACATATTCTAAAGCCATGTATTTTAACATACGCTTTAAAGTTATCCATGCTTGTACGCCTAGATATTCAAAGTGACTTATTCCTTCTACGTTCATGGATTAATATTTTGCACGCATTTCTCATCTCCCAACACATGCTACATGTCTCACCAACTTCATAAGCGAAATAACTACATTTGAATTTCTATTTGCCACGTTATGAACCAGTCTTCACAGAGTTATTAAGTCAAACGTATCTAAAGGAAGCAACCAAGTCCTTGAGGTTATGTGTATGTAATTTTCATGTTACTGTGACAAAAAAATGTTCTTTATTAGAAATGACGCTGCAGTTCCCCGAATGAAATTAACGTTTCATCACTTAATATCAGGTCACATAAGTCGACGTATTCGGAGTAAATAAATACAATGCTAATTACGCTGACATGTTCCATTAAAATCAGAATTCAACGGAAAGTCTCGTTTGTTATATGCGCTTTCGTACTATTAACCTCCACTGCTTTGTGCCATATTCATGTTATCGAGTGACGCACTGGGGATATTTGTTTTAGTGTACCGTGTCCTGTGAGTATTGGAAGTGTTATTTGTGGGAGGTGGCGTTAAACTTCTGCCTCAACGTATTGCCTGCATATCCAGTAAGGAATACTAAGCTCAGACAAGCAAGCAGAACCAAAGTCCAATAGTTTTGACAGACTTGTATGGGTGTGAAACGTGGTCCCTTACGTTGAGGAAGAATAAGAAGTGGAAATGTTAAAAAAGAGGTGAGGGGGGGGGGGATCAGAATAATATCTTTGAATTAAACAGGACATAGAGCGCGGGCAATTTATGATATTACATAACGAGAAATGTCACTGATTTATTCGGGTAATTTGGTGTCGTTAAGGTAATGAAATGCGTCTTAGATTTTCGGTGTATCTTGATTGTAACTTGGCCTAACGCAGTACACCTCTGACAAGCAACCGGGGTTAGATTCCAGGCGAAAACGAGACAATGTCCAGAAAGATTCTGGGACCCACCTATCCTCCTGTCTCACGGCTATAGGGAGCTCAGTTCCTTAGGATAGAGCGGCCAGGACTGAGAAGTGACCACCTGCATCTAGTGCCGAGGTGAAGAATGCGTGGAGCCATATCACCAATTCCTCCATGTGGAATGGTGATTAATTGAGAAATGAGGGTTTTTTGATTTTACATTTCTTGAAATTTCATTATCGACTGCTCACAATTTATTTAAATAGTCATAGTCAAAAGTCACTTTCATGTGAAAGTTCGGAGACCGCCATCTGTGTCAGTGTTTCCCTTGTTATGCCACATATTCCCTGATACCGACATTTAAATGGTAAATATTTCTAACTGTGAAATGTGCGCATATTGTAAAAATTCAGTCGTGTGGGCTCACTCTTATCTCGAGACCCGTTATTTTCTTGACACAAAACGCAACGCGCATTTGCTCTACATCCCCTGCCCATCATATTTTTCTCTCCGATAAGTATTCAGCGAGTTACATTCGAGATGCGCGCGCAGACACTTCATGTGAAGTGTCCGTTATCGTTGCCCGATTTTAACCAAAACTGGAATGATGCTTCCCCACGATCGGCTGCTTACGAATATTGCGGACTCAGGAGAGAACTCGA